CCTCATCTTGACTTGAAAGGGCTTTGGAGGATGAGGAAAGTTGAAGGCTTTTATGTAACGTTAGGTAGGTACTGGCTGCTGTGGTCTCTCATCTACTGCCTGACAAGTTCATTTTGCTTCTGTATTGCTTTGATCCTGTAAAATTGACTGCTATCCAGGCACCTAGAGCTTGTGTATACATTCTCTAGTAGAATTAGTGTTTACACATAATCTTTTAAATAGAATATTTCGTCATTGCTTATGGTATATGATTGCTCAAGTAAGTCACCATCCACCTGTTTTAACCTCCAGTAATAGCAGTTTTGTCACAGTAGAATGTAACTCATTATGGGCACCATGAACGATGCATGCCCCCAGCAGCTGGGGGGCACAGCTGCGCTGGCGGTGGCAAGAACGTAGTGGCAGTAAGCATGGAGATCCTGCAGATGCTGCCAGCACTGGCGGCAGTGGGTGGTGAGCACTGACCAGGGTTTGGTGACCACCTGCAGGCACTGATGGCAGTAGGCGGTACACCCACATGCACCTGCTATGCATCACCCCTGGTGGGCACATCTACAAAAGACATTACTGCACAGTAGCACTGCCGGGCACTAACCATGATGCGACACTACTGTGCAGTAGGGCTGTGCAAAGCTTCAGTTGCTGATTCAAGTCAGCGGAAATTCAGCCCGATTCAGCAGCCACATCTCTGAATCTGAATCAAATCAGGAGACCCTTTAATCTTTCTGAATTGATTCAGAGGTTCCAAATTGATTTGGAGAAATTCAGAGTGATTCAATAATTCAGACATAGACACAGCTTTAAATGTTTTTTTCTATATACCTCAAGGTACCAGGTGGCTCATGAATGCTGAGATGGTGGGGCAGATAGAGTGTCCCACAGGAGCGTGGGAGGGGGTCCCCAGCGCGCTCGGCAGTGGACCCAGAAGTGGACCAGAAGCACTTCTGGTCCACTTCCAGGTCCACCGCGGAGCATGCGGGGGACCCTGGCCCCCTCCCCGGCTCGGGGACTGGTGCCTCCTGGGTCTGGGGGGACACCCAGGGTCCCGTTGTGGCCAATTGCTGAGTCAGAGGTTCATGGGGGGGGTCATCGGCTGAGCACACGAGGGGCCCTCCCGCACTCCTGTGGGATGCTCCATCCGTCCCATCATTGTAGCTCTTACAAGCCCCACCTGGTACCTTGATGTATGTAGAAAAAACATTTAAAGCTGTGTCTATGGCCGAATCGCTGATTCTACAAATCAGTATCAAATCTTCAGATTCGGATTCGGCCAAATGGAAACAGGACAGTGATCTGAATCAACAAATCGAATCACTGTCCCCTGATTTGGGCCGAATCCGAATTCAACATGGCCTGTTTTGCACACCCCTACTGTGTAGTAGAAATGATCTACTGCACAGTAGCTTGTTGCTACTGTGCAATAGTGTTGGGAAAAAAACATGCAGGGATGGTACTTAGTACTTGCTTATGCTTATGAGTCCACTACTTATGTAGACACAGGCTGTAAATTACAAAACCCAGCCTAGAAGTGGGGTACATATTCAGGTGGTGGAGGAAGAAGTGAGCTTTAGGATGCTGAGCTGGATTGTCACCAATGCCTACAAAGTGACAGAAGTGTAGGCTTACCCAAAGTATTTTACAAGGGAGGCAAGTATCATTTTACAAGTTGCGAGACCTAAATAACAATCTCTTCCACAGAACAAAAACATGTTCTAAGTAAGTATATATCAGATTATACCACATTTTACAAAGCATGTGCTATCTTTAAGAACAGATACTGGATAAGTATCTGGCAGGACATGAAACCTACGTATCCTGTAGATCTATACCACCTCTCAACAGCATTAGGGTGAAGGCTGCTCCCTCTGGGCTTACTACCTGCCAAAACTGATGTAACAGAGCTGTGTGATACTGGGTGCCCAGCAACACAATTGCTGTTTTGGGAGAGCTTTTTGGTTCATGACTAGCACTCCATCAAAGCAGTCCCCTTATATCCATTTAGCAAGGCAACGTATGTGGAAGGGGGGTGGTGTGCTCCATTGTAGTACTCTCTAGCATGGTTCAGAGGTGACACAGACATGTCCTACAACAGGGGACCAAACCTTTTGGCATGTGGGGCACAAATTAGCTCTACACCCTCCCCAAAGGCCACCCTGACTCTGTTCCTCTGCCCACACCACTACACTGCTTTATGCTCTGTACTCTATATTCCCTGGCTGATTTCCTGCTCTGCTTTCTGCTTCCTTACCTATCTGCTGCTGTGTCCTCTACTTGATCTGTTATGTGCTACACACAGAATCTGCCCATGTGCCACAGACTGGCCACCTACAAGATGCTTGCCTAGTGTCTAAAAATAGTAGAACCTATGTAAAATGTGGTAAAATCTGGTATGTTCTGACTCAGAACATGCTTATGTTTGAAGAGATTGATTAATCATTTTCCACATCTGCAAAATACTTGCCTCTTTTGTAAAGTATTTTGGGTGGATATGCCTACATTACTGTCTCTGTGCAGGTAATGGTGATAATCCAATCTCAACAGTACAAAGCTCACTCCTGAATATTTACCCAGCCTCAAAGACATGTTTTGCAATATGTCTGGAGCTCTATGCTGTTAAAAATACATAGTTACCAGTACTTGAGCCAGCTAGGTATTCGGGCTGTGAAAAATTTTGCCAGGTGTTTTGTTTCAAAGTTGTTTCAACACCTTTCAAGCTCAAAACAGTGAAATCAAAACAAAACAAAAGGCTTCAAAACAGCTGAGAAACAAGGGCACTCAAAATGTTTTGAAAGTTTCCAAACATTTTGAGTTTCAAATCCCGGCTTGCTTGCAGCTAAACAGAAACTAAGGAGAGGGAGGGGGAAAGGACTGCTCTGATGCTGTTGAAACTGCAGCAGCCACCTGCTGAAACCCAACATGCAGATCTGGGGGCCTGTGTCCCCCAGGAACAGCTGGGGAAATAGAGAGCTAAGGAATCAAACCAGCAGCTGGGGTTCCTGGTTAGATTCTCCAGTATCTTGAGCTTTCCCCCAGCTCTCTAATCATTTCCCCAGCTCTTCCCACAGCCTGCACCCAGCACCAGGGAAGACTTACACTGCCACTGGCCCCAGGCAGCAGCAGCAGCAGCCTCCTGTCATCCACCACACAGATCCGGGGGCCTTGAACTTCCCAGGAGGAGCCTGGCACAGCCCCACAGCCCTTTTGGGGCCCCCAGATCTGCGTGTGGGATTTTCATGATTCCCCATTATATAGCCTATGGGCAAAACATCAAAACTCGTTGAAACAGCAAAACAGTTTTGACTAAATAAAATGGAACAGTGCTTTGAAATAATGAAATGAAACTCTGTCCCTTTGAAATGGTGAAACGGAAGTCGAAACGAAACAGCTGTTTCGCACAGCCCTACTAGGTATGTCTACATTACAGTCACTGTCTGCAGTGCAGACATACCCTTTGAGATCTGCTGCAGAAAAGCACAATATAGGAGCTATAGTATTTTTAAAGAACATACATGCACATAAGTGAAATTTTTTGTACAATTCATACAAGCTTCTTGTGTTACCGTAGACAAACTACTTAATCTAACCTGTGCTTCAGTTCTCTCCTATTAAAAGATGTCTATAGTTTTCTACTTCACAGGGTTATTACAAAAATAAAATCCATTAGTGACTGCACAGAAGTCAGAAATGATCATAATTGGTATTACTGAGAACCCAGGGTCACCCAATGCACCAGTAAGAAGTCTTTCTATGCCTGTGTTGAAGTTAGTGAAAATGTTACCTGTAACTTTCTTATTGGCTAGTGGACTGTTGTTACATTGTTGACAACTGATACTGCTGTCTTTTACAGGAAAGGCACCTAAAAATGGCGAGCTATATATGTTGACAGGAAGAAGTTAAAGGGTGGAAATTAAGGTGTTAGCCACAATTTGAAGGACCTGCAAGTTTCAGGTGGGGGTGGTAGATGCCACATTTTTTTGGGCTAACTGTTCAACATGGGGATGCTTTTTTATCACATTGCCATTGTTGACAATGTATAGCAAACTTGAACTTGTCTGGGCTAGAAGACTTGAATTTGTACCCAAATGGCACACCCAGCTTCAACGGGCTGCCTGTCGCCATATTCTTTGCAAAGCTGTCAGTGGCAGTATGTTGGCTTAGACATAGACTGTTTTGTAAAAAGAAATACATTGGTGGGAAATTAGGTCTAGACAAAACTAGTTGCATTTATGTAACCTCTGTCACTGCAGTAGGTTCAGTATTAGGTAGGTATTTAACTCATTAGCTACCAATAGGCATTACGTAATTATCTCCAGAGCCTCAAAACTATTTGGATATTGCAGTTCCCAGTTGCAAGGTACGCTGCCACGTAGGCCAGCCCAGAGCTTTCATCCCAGGAGCTAGAAGATGTCTGTGCAATCCAGCTTCCGGGCTATTTTTCTATGACAAAACATTTCTTCTGCTAGAAATGAATATCTGTGCACAGCCTAGATGTGTTCTGGACATGCTTAAGGACTTAGGTTCTGACCGTGAACTGAGTTGGGAATATGTTTATTTTGTGAATCTTTCTTTGGGGTCTCAAGGATTTTTACTCCAATTTGAGCAATTCATTAACAGTAAGGGGGCTTTATGTTGAATAGTCTAATAAACTTCACAGGTTTACAAGCTTCACATAAGATACTGAAGAAATGTTAGAACTGTGGCATTATTACAAAGCAGCATGTAACACTGGAAAAGTGTCTTTCATAATAAATCAAGTGTTTGTCATATACAGTGAGTGAATATCACAGTGCCAGTGATAGTATTTCTTTTAAAAGAATTATTTTTATGGCTGGGCCAATGTTTACTCCTTTAGAAAACTTTTCATGTGACCTCACCCCCCAGCTAAAAAAAAAAATAATTTCATGTGACCCTCCCCCTCCCTCTCCCCCCAGCTAAAAGAAAGAGACAAAAATCACTAGTGAAAAAAAGGAAGTAGGTGTTGCAATACAGTATATGAGCTCTTATCATACCACTGCAACAAACGATTCATTCATTCAGACAGCAATGTTTCAGGTAATCGGATGTTGTTGATATTCAGGTAAGATATTAATCTTTTGGCAATAAGTACCTTATAGAAACAATACTTATTCCTCCTCCTAGAGTCAAGCAACAAATGCTGAGAATATTTGATTCACAGTGCTAGATTGTAAATGTTCAAGTTATTATTATTTTTTGTATTTTAGTACAAAAAGCCATATCCTAAGGTCCTTACTCAGAACGTTTTACACTGTTCTTGATCAGGCAGACTCGCCTTGAAATCAAATGGTTTTTGCTAAAAACCACTGCTTAAGGATATAGCATCTTTGGATTTGGTCCGCAGAATGCAAAATTGCTTTTACTCATGCACCATAAATTCTATAGGCATGTACTTGTTCTTGCAAATACTATGACGTGTGTACACATAAACAGTAATTCAAGCCCTTGTTGAGGTCCTGTGGGATGTACAGGATTTCTAGTGATCTGTACATATCATGGGATTTTTTTTTGCTGTGCATGCCCACCAGAAATTTTCATACATACTGAGTTATGTGCAGGTACTCTAAATCAGTGTTCCTCAGCTGGATGGTCTGCGGCCAGCATCGTGCTCAAGAGATCCTCTACTATTCTTTATGGCCACAGGACCTTGTTTTACATCTTATATTCAGATTGCCAAGGAGAATAAAGTATGATGTTGCCTGAAGTTCCTTACTGTGATTCATATTGTTCCCCATGGGCCTGCCAAAGTTGGGAACCACTAGTGTAAATAAAGCAGTGTTCAAAATTTGTGGTTCTTTTAAACATCAAAAAGAACAAACTATTTTTGTTTGATTGCGCTGATCCAGTTCTTTACTAAGTAACTGTTATATATCCCAGATAATGCATCACTGCCACATCGTTGCTGTTATTTGTTTCACTGATTGAACAGGCATTATAGTATTAAAATTGCAGTATTATTTTTAATGTTTTTAAATTATTTTACAGTGCTCAAAATGATATGATTACTTTGTGTGTGCATGTAGTACTTATGCCATTTTGGGGTTCCAAAATAATAAAATACAATAAGTAAATATTACGTTTATATGATTAGTATATCATAATCAAGTGTGCTGATGCATATTCATTGCTAGATATTGATATAATTAAGACAAGTGTTAGATGTTCAAAACTGTTAAGTGATCAGCAAAGGTCACAAAAAATAATGCTGCTGTTAATCTCAGACATTGCAGAAGTTTCTTTTGAGTTTCCAGAATCCTGAGGGTTTTCTCTGTGATCCTTCAGCTTATTGTCCTCACTATCAAATATCCAGTAAAACCAAGCTCACTAGACTTAAGAGCATATAACAGTAGGGTCCTGTCCTGTTCCAGCTGAACTTAGTAGCAAACCCTCCCTGAATGTAACGAGAGGAGGATCAGACAGGCCATTTCAGATTTTCTAATGAGTTCTTAGTTCTTCTTTAGCAAATGAAATCTTTTTAGTCCTGTGTCATATGTAAATACAAATTTTATTTTACGTGATACTGAATAACTTTGAAAGGAATTCCCTTTTTCAAAAGTTGCAGAAGCTTGGTGAATCATTTTCAGCTATTTAGAATCCAGGAAAATAAAATGTGTTTAAAGTGTTCCTCCCAATCAAAGGTTGTTGTAAATGAATTTTTTTCCGTTGACCAGATGCTGCATAAATCTGTTTGACCTCTGGCCTCCTTCATCTATTTGCCCTCTCAGGAGGATTACTTGTTAGTTTAAATTAAACCACATTAGGTCACAGAACTTATACTGTGTTTTTCTTGAGTTTCTATTATTCTTTTGAGAAGGCGACTGACAAATTATACAAAAAAAGTCATAAGCTTTCTCTAGAACCTTTACTTTGACATAAGATTGAAGAAGGTTCTGATACTCAATTTGAGGGTATTCTCTTATTTTCTGAGAATTTCAGTGCCTCAATCTGCTATTTTTACTTTTTAGCATGAGTAGGTATTTCCTAATAAAAATCTGTGAATCATAGATTTGTTTCTATAAGAAGGTGTCCCCTTTTTTTCCCATTCAGTTGGGTTTTTTTTTTTAAACCTAGAGTGTGTATTATCACACATACATATATGGTGTGCTTATATTTTGCTTCTTCCAGTTTATGCCCAGAGGTATTTGTTTGATTTTTATTCTGAAAATTGTTCCAACCTATACAATGGAAATGTGAATACCTTAAGTGGCAAGGGACTGAGCCAGGGAACTCCCAGTTCTGCTGTCAATGCCTCAAAGAGGAAAAATCAATCAGGCAGGTGATAAAACTGTCTGGAAGTTTTTTGCCCACAGTTTTCTTGGGAAATGATGATTTATTTAACTCAAAGTATTTTTTTCAAACCACCTTCACTTTGATAGATTGTCATTGAATCCAAGTTCTAATAAGACCCTATAGGGATTCTTTCAGACTGCCCCAGGGCCAGAAACACTCATACCTGTTAGTTAGTGCAACTGGTGGGGCTGCCCTAGGGTGATAGATGCTGGGCTCCTGAGGTGGTCCACCTGGTGTTTGGTCTGTGCTGGAGCCTTGAGGTAGTGGGATGGCCACAGAGCCAAAGACCCTTGAAGGCAACCACTTCTCTGAAATAGAAAGCTTGGCCAGGGCTCCCAAGGTCCTTGCTGTGCAGCCAAAAGTCTGGAAGCTGTGGGAGTCCCAGCTCTGCCCAGGGCTTACACCGCCTAGCTCCATCAGGGAATGTGGAAGCCCTGAAGATGGCAGAGGAGCCAGGCAGCTGGAGGTGGGAACTTCCAGGTTTCCTCCTGTGGGACCTGGACTCAGAGCTTGAGCTTGTCATTTTGGGGAAGTCCACAGGGCAGGAGCCACAGATCCTGAAAACCTCAGCAGTCTCATGGACAAGGATCTTGGTTTTATCTGATTTTTAAAAATCCCCAATTTTTGGTCAAAAAAGTAACCCCAAATCCACATTTTGCCGTAATTTAAATGAAACACCACTAATATATAGACATGTATATAGTGGTGTTTTATTTTGATTGTGGCAAAATGTGGGTTACTGTGTTTTTAACTGAAAATTGCGGATTTTTTTAAATCAGAGAAGACCAGGATCCCTGCTCATGAATCTGACAATCCTGTTAATTTAAAGGGTCATAGTGGAAGTGAAAACAACAGTATAACCACATCACCAAACTGCAGCAGAGACTGAGGAGCTCTTTATTTTAAGGAACACCTTGTTTCAGTAATTCCAATATGAGCTTTTCTCAGAATTTTCTCTTTGTGGGAAATTTAAAAAATGTTTTTGTTCAGTCTGATTGTAAGCAAACCAGATTAAAAAAGTAACACAAAATTTCCCAGCAACTTTCCAAGCCAGCTCTGCTGAGGTCATACTTTAAATTCTAGCGCAAAGCAAAGCCAGTGACTCAGCACTCAGAGGAAGAGAATCAGAATCAGCCTGGAACACAATTCTTTGCGTTCCTTTTTGGAAATAGCAAGGGTTCACATCACTGGACATAGTAGATTTTGTGTATGTCTGTGGCAGATTTTTGGAGGATAAATGTTCTGGGACTTCATATCATCAAAACAACTGAATATGGGATTTCCTAAAAGAGGAAGCAAAGGAATCTACCAATTAAATGAGATGGAGCAGGTAATAATGGCCAAAAATAATGTCAATACTTGTTTTCCTTCATTTCAGGGACCCAGGTGTTAGTGACTCTTTCCAGTACATTATGGAAGTATATTCTGTGTTTTGATGAAAGCAAAACTCTTTGAAGAGTCTACTCATTAGGAAGTAATTAGAGCAACTAATTTATAATAGCATATGTGTATTTAAATACAGCAGTTAAATACTGTATGATTTTGTAGTGTGTTAGGAAGAGCTTAACATGAAGTGAACACCTGTTCACAAACGTGTATGCATCTCTGATTCAGTTAGTCTATAAGGTGTATCTCTAGCCTGCCTTCATTACAAACTATGGAATGTGCACATATACTATCATGTAATTTAATCAGGGATTAAAGTGACCTAGCGGGTCACTTCAGGATCAAAATTCTAGGTATCAGGCTATGTCTTCACCAGAAGAAAGGTGAAATAGCTATCTTGACCAAGTTATCTCAATGTAAAGTCCTAGTGGAGAGAAAGAAGTGGTTGTTTTTACCTGAATATATTTAACCAAGGTCAGTAATAAATAGGGCTCCACTCAGGTAGATTTTGCAAGTTAAAAATGATTTGTGCTTTGTCTCCTCTAGAGGAGTTTATACCACAAATAGAGGTGTTTTCTCAGTAGAGACAAATTCTCAACTGTGAATTGAGAGTGTATTATATATGGAAGGAAGTGGACTTCACATTCATCATCATAGCGATTCTCCATCCACTTCATATCTTATACGTGTGTATGAAGCAGATGTGAATTCTGTTAAATAATGTGATATACTCACTTTGTAGTGTTGTCTGTGGTTTGGCTTCACTTGGAAAAAAAGTTACACTGGTTTAACTACATTGATTTTTTAAATTTATCTAAATAAACTGGTGCAAGACATTTATGCAAACATGCTTAAATTACCTTGAAACTAGTTTGAAACTGGTTTAAGGTGGGAGGCTAAGTCAGGGGTTTCTATCAGTTTAAACTGGTCAATTATACATCCATTTAGTCAGTGCAGCTCTTTTAGAACGAACAGGTATTTCCTAATAAAAATCTGTGAACTGTAGGCCATGTCCACATGAGCATGGACAGTTGTTTCCCCAGGGACAAGCAGCAGTGGCACACCTTGTGCCACTGCTACTTGTCTGCACAACAGGTTACCCTGGGCAGGGTAGGGGAGCCTGGGGCCAGCAACTGTGCTGGCCCCTGCAGCCTTACCTGGGGCCCTGGGAGCCTCCTGGGGCTGTAACCACTGCAGGAACCAAAGCCAGACCAGCAGCTAGAGTGTGGCTCAAGCCGGTCAGGCCCTGGTTTGGGTTGGTGCATGCTGCTGCCATGTGTACCACCTCACTTTTTTTCTGTGTGGGTTTTTTTTTGACCTTGGG